AACAAGGGGTGGCACAACTTACCCATTGGCACTTTCCCCTTGTGGAGGAATTTTTCAATCATTCCTGAGCTTCCACAGATTTAAAGATATCATGTTCCAATTTTATGTTATTGTAAATACTAATAACAGCTTAAGATGATTTAATTTATGTGTCAGGTTCAGGTCAGGTTCAAGGTGACCTTTATTGTTAGTGCCAAAGGTTAAAGCTGACAATGAAAAAAAATTTCAAGAAACCATGTCAAGTACCGTAATATATAAGGGGCACTGAGAGAGCTGTGCAACACAGTATTTATTTTTTCAATATGATGCCGTTCAACATCACAATGATGCCAATAGGTTTTGCAAAAACACACCTCATGATCTTAAAATCTCAAGTTTCTACAGCTTATAGAAGTCACAGATTTCAGCCAATCCTCCTCCAATCCTGTGGGTAAAAATGATAAAAGACATCATTTTAATATATAGCACTTCAGTCATAGGTCACATGTCAGATGTTGGCTTTATAAAGCAGGCTAATGTCAGCATAAAGTAATAAAAGCATGCTGACGTTAGCATGTTGTGATAAAAACACCATAAAACATCTTTTACATAAGTTTTAGTATAGCCCTTGCTATGGACTTGCTAACAACTTTGTTTCTTCTGTACATCACACATGTTGGCCAAGCTAGTTAGCCAGAGAAAACTACTGTGTTATAATGATAAATCACTGAAGTTTGTTTATTTACTAATGCTAGCTGTAGTTCCACACACATCGCAGATCATAACTGATCTCAGATCTGTGAAAGCAGAGCAAGGGCAGCATGACTTTACTGTGAAAGACCAGCAGTTTATCCATCATGTGAATGCCCAAACCACCAGGAAAAGCTGCTAGCCTCTGCAGTCACAAGATTGCAGTAATGTAAAGGATGGACACAGAAAGAACAGAAATTAAGTCAGTTATGTTGCTCAACATCACTAGCCACAAACGTCAGTATATACACACACTCATATTTACAAATACACAGCCAAGTAGTTTCACTGTGTAACTTTTAACCACTAGCTTCCACTTTCCTGGAGCCAAACCATCTTCTCTTTATTAACTTTGTCTGGGAAATCAAAACTGTTTGTCTTAACTTTGCCCAGAGACAGAGACAACACGTTATCTAACCCTTTAAGAATTAAACATGGTGTTGTTTAAGTCATGAGTGTGTAAGATGACATTTACATTTACAAATAAAATATTAGAGCTTTGAGAGTTTTTACCCATCAAATGAATAAAACATGGCTCCAAGTCTCAAGAAGCCTGGAAGGAGAACAAACCTCTAAAATGATCTCAAACACACAGTATTCACAGGGTTTTTTTTTATGTAATATAACTGCTGAACATGTTTGTGGTGCTTTGACTGTAACTGGGCGAGCTAAATACAAGATTGCTATCTGTTAAAACCAGGCTGTAATAGGCAGCAAACTGTCAGATAAAAAGAGTCATAGTCAGGCTTAATTATGATTTAGTGACAAAGAGTTTGTTGTGTTTCTGTGCATGACTAAATCCATTTAAACTTTTAAAACACTGAAATTTATCAAAATTAAAATAAAACAAGTGATCTTTTTAATCAGAGGAAAGTAAGGCAACCTTATTTCCAATTTAGGAGGCTGTGTAAAATTGAAATAAGCATAATGCTGTGAATCAAGTCATTCCAATACTATAGTTTTTGAAATGCATGAGTTGCATTACTATAGTTTCTCCAGTGAGCAGTGGCTGTAATCAAAACCAGAAAACCTCCAAAGACAAGCGCACAGGAGCCACTGATTAGCTGCCTGACTCATAAGTGTGCACATAGATACAAGAAAACAGTGGAAGACAAGGACAAACAGCAAGATGAGACAGATGGAGGAAATGAGAGGGAACGCAGAGGGAACTAAGCACTCCACAAATCATCAGTAAGGGAAACTAGCAAAAAATGTAGACTCAGCATTTTAAAGAATAAGATCGAGGAAAAAATTCACAGAGCCAAACTGAATATAAGAAAAATAAGACATCTAAACTTTAAAACACTCAAGGAACTAAACTAAGGTAACACACCTTAACTATAGTAAAGTAGAGGTCATAGTCCACACTGCTCACGGACCCCGAGTCCCCGGAACCGTGTCCGTGACACTTCTCATTTTTTAAGCGAACAAAAAGTCAAACTGTACATATGTTTTCACCAGGGGGAGTAGCAATAATAATGGCCCATTTATTTACCGTTTGCTATATTTATGTACTGTTTTAGTTTAGTCAATACATCTGTATTTTGTCATGACTGATCAGCCACGAGGAAAAAACTGAAGGTTAATAAAATGCGAGCCGCTTGTTAGGCTAAATACCACAACAGACAAACAAGGCAGAAAAACAGTTTTACACACAGGGCATTAAGTTCATTCAAGGAAATTGTGATGATTCTGGAAATGGCCTCATACAGGGAATTCCAACTTGTGGATGTTGGTACCATTAGTTTGCTGCGGCTGACTTCCTCCACCTGTTCAGAGGCTAATGTTGATCGACTTGTTCTAGTCCAAAGAGCAGAACATTTTGCAATGCTACTCCTATATACAGCCTTGGTGTCTGCACAGGAATTTAGACGTTTATCAACATCGAAATCTGAAATCAAGTTAATTGTGTGTGATGCACATCTGCAGTGCGGAGGGAGGCTAAACTGTGCATCACCAGATGCGGTTGAAAGGGCTTCTATGACATCAGTAAAGGTCAGTTCCTCGTCATCACCTTCTTCATTTTCAGATTCAGACTGCAAATGACAGGGCTGAACTGTTACCCCCATAAAACATTTATTATTTACTGTCCAGATGTCAGCAGTGGTGGAAACAAACTCTACCTCTTTGAGTGTAGCCTTCAAGATAGAGTTCATTTTGTTATATTCTCTCTTAAGGTATCCTACAAATGACTTTCTCTGGGGCAGAATTGACACCACTTTTAGTTACGATGCACCAGAATGACTCAGAGTCTACAGTGGAAATCGGCAACATGTCCTCGACGATATAGTCTGCGACGAGCTTCTTCAGTTCCGCGACACTAAGTCCTGTTGCTCTTACATCTATTTTAACCTGTTTAGCAGGAGAGGATAGCAGCTCCGACCGTGCTCATAAAACAGGCTGCAAACCAGGTGCAGCACTTAAGCAGCATTTTACGATGAGGACTTATGGGATCTTCTGACTGGAATACATTTAAAGATAGCTATCAGCTATCTTTTTGTGATAGTTCACATAGGTCATATCAAGAAAAAAAATGTTCATTTCCACCTAATTTACTTACTTTGCAGTTCCCATATCCACGCATGCAAAATCACATAATTGCACTGTGAAACTTGCAACACACTAGCTTCTCCTTTCCTGCCACCAAACCACCTCCTGTCTGTCAAATGTCTGTGGAAAATCAAAACTATCTTTGATTTCTTTAAGAATTATAAAATGTTGTTTGCTTTACTTATAAGTGGGTAGGATGACATTTGCATATAAAATTTTGGGTTTTTACCTACCTAATGATTAAAAAAAGGGTCCAAATCTCAAGATGCTTCTTTTTTTTCACTAGTGTCAATTTATTGATGCAGAATAATTGCTAGACAAGGCAAGCAGTGATTATGACTTTTAGCTTTTGACAAGACAAGCTGAAATAGTAGTAAAATATTTTGAAAACACTTCACTACACTTAAAAGTGTAAAAAGAAATGTTCCCCGTCAGTGTTCTATGGATCAGTGTTACTGCTGCAGATGATTAGAGCTCTATAGTCGTGTGTGAGATGTTCAGTTTTGCTTCCTTTGTCTGGTCAGCCAGGTTATGTTCCCTAACTGTGTTTCCCAGGTGTATCCGCTCTGTGCCAATTCCCTATTGCATATATATTGTCTGCGTCTCCCTCTGTTCTTTTCTCCCCCTTTGTGGAAGTAGTGTCTGTCTGTTTGTCTGTTTCTGCCCTGCTTAGTTTTTGTATTTTTCTTTTTTTCCAACATTAAAACTGTGATTTTTACATCTCTCATTTCCTCTCACTTGACCTTCCTGTCCCGTCTCCAGTTTGTTCAAAATGTTGCTCCTCACAGACACCCCAAAAAGAGATCATATTACAGCTGTTTTAACTTCTCTCCAGTGGTTGCCAGTTAGTTTTACAATCACGTTCAAGTTTCTCCTGTTTGTCTACAAAACCCTTCATGGTTTGGCTGCTTTCTACATCTTTGGCCACTTGCAGCCCTGTTCAGCTTCCAGGTCCCTCTGATCAGCTGAGCAGATGCTTCTGACTGTTCTCTGCTCTGTATTTAAAGTCAAAGAGACCTGCATTCTTGTGGTTGTCCCTGACCTGTGGAAGAGCATTGCCCTCATAGTCAAATGTGCTCCCTCCACTGAGTCATTTAAAACTAGACTCAAAACTTATTTCCCACTGGCATTTGAGTCTGTCTGATTTGTTCATGTGTTTGTGTCATGTGTATGTTTAGCACCTACTATGTATTTTACTTGTTTTTTTTTAAATCTATTTCTGTTTCCTTCTTTTTTTGTTTTGTTCATTTTGCTTTTTGTACGGTGCCTGAAAAAGAGACTCGTCAAAATAAGCTTATGCGTTGGTTTTATAAGGAAGATCTGTAATCCATTATCTGCCTCCTTTCTTGGATGTTAGACCGTTACTTACAATTAAATACTCAGATCCATATAAAAGGACATTTTTATATTTATTTTTAAGCCCAGACCTGGTAAATGTAGTGGAATTGTACAGCGCTTTGAGGGCCCCGAAAAGCGCTATATAAATGCAATCCATTATTATTATTATTAAATGTGTTGTTTGAGTGCTGCAGTTTCTTTTGGTGCTCTAAATTTCAGAGTTGTTCAGTATTAGTGCTCTGTTACTTCATGTAAGAAAAAAAAAAAGAAATCAAAAGGAGAAGTGTTTCAGAAGGATAACCAGTGCAAAGTGCTTTTGTAAACCACAGGTTTTAGTTCAGTTTTCTGTCATCTGTTCTCATAAATGACACGAAGCAGCAGCCTTTCTTCTCAGTCATGGAGGGCAGAGAGAAGAGAGCGCTGCACTTCTTGATCTTCGGTAAAACAGATTTTCCATAATGTTTAATACTTTTCTTTATCACAGAGACAGTCTGGATAACTTTACAACTTTTCTTAAATTATTTTTATACTGAATAACTTTATGTCTTGATAACATTCCATGGTTTAATTTTCCCATAGTTGTTTATCTCGTGGTGTCACCTTCACCTTCTGCAGGTCAGTCTGTTCTAACCTGTCATACTTACATTTTCAATTTAAAGCCATTTTTGCAATATAGTTCATATTGTCTTTTTCCTCCTAGGTCTGCTCAGATTAGCTGGAAATGGGTCCACTCGGTGCTCTGGAAGGGTTGAAATCTATAAGTCTTACTATAACTCCTACTCCTACTCCTACTCTTACCGTTACCGTTACACCTCCTGGGGAACAGTGTGTGATGATGGCTGGGACGTAAAAGATGCTGAGGTGGTCTGTAGAGAGCTGAACTGTGGGATAGCACTGGAGGCTCTTGGGTCTGCTTACTTTGGTCAAGGTACAGGGACTATCATGCTTGATGATGTGGACTGTTCAGGAAGTGAAACTTCTCTAGATGATTGTCGTCACAGAGGACTTAGGACACACGACTGTAGCCATAGTGAAGACGCTGGTGTGGTCTGTTCAGGTAAGAAAACTGTTCCAAAAGTCTGTGGTGGTGTCACAACTGGGTTTTTTCATGTATTAGTTAAAACTTAGATTCTAGTTTGTTCTCATTCCATCATATTTTGCTTATCTTACTTTTTTTAAAAGCATCATTACAATGTGTGCACTCTAATTTAAAAACCTCCTTTAGCAGCAATAACCTGAAACATTCATAAGATAGAAGCAAGGTCAAAAAAGTTTCTGTCTATCCCCCTCAAGATATTGTGAGAAAAAGGAAATATGAGATGAGAGAATGAAAAGAGCAGTTAAAGTCTGTAAAATTAGTGCCAGTAACTAATCAGAGAAGTTTAAACCATTACCAGCCTGCTCTACACTGTTATAGCTCATGATCAGTTTCAGTGAGTGTTTATCTGATGTTTTTTCTTTATAATTTGACTTAATGGTCATTGATCATATGTCGAAGATGTCCAGGGAGAGAAACCAAGAGGTCGCAGTGTATTGGAGAAGAGAAGGAGGCAGTACAGATTATTGTGGTATTGAGGAGAGAGCACACCTGCCTCATTTTTCTGTGTGTATACGAGAGGCTGGAGATAGTGTAACCATAACCAGCAGTAACAGTACTGCACATAACTGCCAGCAGACACTAAATCAGATACAACATGAAAAAAAAACAGTGGTCTGGTATTTAGCTGCAGAGATTTGTCATTTGCAGACACAAAACGGTATCAGCTAAGCCATTAGCCAATATCGTAGCCACTAATATTATCTGATCTGAACTCGACTGTGTCCTGTTTTATCTAATACTACATCTTTTTTTTTTCTTTTTCTTTAGAAACCCTCCCTGAGCCCACCATCTCCTTGTACAGTAATGAGGTCACCTGGGGTCAGGACGTCAGAATCAATTGCTCAGTCTCAGATAAGCTCTCAGGTGGAACTTTTATCCTCCAGAAGACTTCAGGCTCATTCAGTCAGACTAAACCATCCTCTACAAGCTCTGTTACATTCAATCTTCAAAATGTGAACTTTGATCATGATGGACTGTACCAGTGTCAGTACATGAAAATAAGTCGAAGGTTCAGCTCTTCTCCTGTCGGACTCACTGGTAAGAAAAAAATCCACTTTGCCAAGTTCTTTGTTTCATTCTCTTCTTTCAATAATAGAATCAGTAACCTGGTGAGATAATGCTTTCATATGTTGATATTTTTTCAGTGAGGTTTCCAAAACCTCGTATCTCCATTTGCCCTGTTGGTGAGGTGACCTGGGGTCAGACTGTTGAAATCACATGTTCAGTCTCAACTCAGGTTTTAGGTGGATCGTTCACTCTGAGTCAAATTCAGGGTTCATTCACGAGCAGTGTTGGTCAAGTTACTTGAATAAAAGTAATCAGTAATTAATTACTGATTACTTCCCCCAAAAAGTAATCCCGTTACTTTACTGATTACTTATTTTCAAAAGTAATTAATTACTTAGTTACTTTTTAAAAACACGATTTACAACCTGAA